GCAACAGCGGCTTGCGAAATTGGAACAGCGGTCCATCAACTTGACGCAGGTCCTGTGAGTCCCATAGCTCAGAGGACATGTCGAGCTCATTGCGCATCAGTCTGAACTAGGGACCGCCAGGATGGGCGTTGTTGAAACACAAAAACACCGCATCATTTGGAGGGATCATGAGGCGTCGGAACAATTTCGATAAACTGTGGATGGACAACATCCACTTCGCACCATGAGATGGATGAAACCCATACATACTCGTTGAACACCGCCAAATTTGCAACCATTCCAAACCACCAATTAGAGGGAAGCTGAAATTGGAATCAACGGGAAACACTGTGTCCGGTTTGGATTTACATCTATCAGGACAGCTCAGAACGGATCTCTGGTTCAAATGATGTGCTGGTGCCCTCTTTCAAGAACTGGACATCGGGTCAACCCTCGCCCAACCCATAGTCTCCTGAATTGCCCATGCTGACTCGGCCATCAACCACAAACGCACGGCAGTCATGGATCCTGCCGTCCATGGCACGATCAATCTATGGGTCATGGTGGTTCCCGAAGTAGGATCCCTTCCAATAGTCCTGGCCCAAAGTTGGGGTGCACAGAAACTAATTGCTCAAATTATGTTTCATATTTTGTGACCCTAAGATATCAAGTAAACTTTTGGCGTTCCCGTGCTCCGGATATCCCGCAAGGGCTATGGCCAACCTCAAGCCCTCCCCGAGTTTACGAAAAGGGATCCAAAAGGAGATGCCTCTACACGTGGGCTTTTGGGATCCAAATAAAACGGCCTACTCCAAATGCCAGCTTAGCGCGGCGAAAAACAAAAAAAAAACCTGGCCAAAAAGGAGGTGTTTCACCGGGTTTGTCAACAAGTTGGTGTTTGGAGTCGGGGGGGCGGGCTTTCCCAGCACCAATGGGGCATCTCAGAAGTGTGTTTTCGTGGTTGTACAAGGGAACCTGAAAAGCAGATGGACATTTGCGGGGAATCAATTCAGCAGTTCGTGCACAAAGCTTCTCTCATTTTTTCCAGGGGGGTAGCTCTTACCTCTGGTTCTCTGGGGCTCCGAGCGCTGGGGATCTCGATATCCGTGCCAGGATGATACTCGGGCATGGCCTAGCAGTCCATCCCAATGACTTTCCTGGAAAAAGACGCCACCCTCAAATCGTCCGGAGCAAAAGATTCATTACCTCCATGTTGCTCAGGGTAGTGGAGGCTCCAGGCACCTTTGTTTGGGCGACTTGCTTTTGAAGGGAAATCCTTTCAAGTACTTACCATGGGAGTTCTGGGTACGGGGGTCTATCCGGAGTCATCCCCTTCTCAAGACCTCTGTAGCAGGGTCAAAACAAACCCTTTTATACTGTTAGCGGGTTTGCGCCACAAAATTGAGCCCAAGGATGTTGATACTACATGTATCAGATACATGCAGTTCACGAGGTTGCCGACCCCGTCTCATCCGGCCAAAGAGCTGGTACTACACTGAAATTGTTGAGAAACAGGGCGCTCGGGGCAGCCCCTTGGCCGAAAGGGTGCCTGTTTCGAACCACGAGAAATACAGCAACCCCCAGACCTCAGCCTGACAAATTCTACCCAAAGAGCGGCCTAGCTGGCCTCAAATGGGGCTCGGTGATTGGCCCCCTCATTGTTTGGTCTTTGACTCGGCCCACAGGGATACACAACAAAGCAAATGACCTTCGGACTCTGCTTCACAACTCGTCCAATGAAAAATCGCTTTGGATTCAGAAAATGCCACCGTCTGGTTCTTGATTCCTTTGAACCCAGGCACACCACGGATCGTATCGCCCGCCTTTTTCGCCGCTGCATGAGCCACACTTAAAACTGACCCGTTTCCGCTGGAAAAAAACGGATCCATGGCCCTGGCCCTTGCTGAACCCGAGAGGCCCCATGTCCTTCAAGACTCCTCGTATCCATCCGGATTCTTCGACCCAACCTTGGGCTGTAAGGTCACGAACCAAAGCCTAGAGCTCACAATCTAATTGGCCCATGCATGACATGCACAGGACCATCCACCTCTCAGGTCCAGGAGGGTCCAGATCTTGTGAGACGTTGAAAGGAGATCTGCACTTCCCACCAACACAGAACCTGACAAATCCATAAATAACAATTTCAACGTTAGGGACCTCTCCAGGTTGTTAGTTTCCTCTGAGTTTCCCTTTAAACAGATCCAAATTATTTTGAGACAAATACATGTTCCTGGGAACGTTCTGATGGGTTTCATGTCAGTTGGAGTGCAAGAAGCTATCGATGATTCGCCGCAAGGCACAGACTGGGTGGACCGACATGTAAACATGATGCTCAAGCGAATTGGGGGAGATGGTGCCATCAAGCTTAGTGTGTGGCATACGAATTGATTCAGGTATCATCCCTTGGTGGTTTAGATTGGTGGAGATTTGAACCCCTGGCTCCTGTAGAAAATAAATGGGACCCCCTCCTTGACCATCAATCCACCAGTTGGAGGGAGGCTGATCGTTATCCCCCAATTTGACAGTATGAGCCGTTGCTGTCGGAGTCGCCACGATCTGACAAAATCAGAGACCTCCTCAGCACCAAGAATGTTTTAATCTTGGGTGAAATTAATTGACTTTCACTAACACTATTGAATGAGAATGTGTTGCAGAAGACACAAGCACATGTTGTTCAAGGATATGAGCAAGGAACTATATTGACAACCCTCACTGTTGAATATTCCTGAAGGCGTGGACTGCGTCAGAAACTGCTTGTGCAGGAATCAGTGTTCGGAAGGGGAAGCGGAAACAATGTGCAAGACAAAGGAAAGACACCACAGTTGTTGAGTGAACCTGATAAACAAAAATAACAAAAACGACCCCGTTTTTCAGGTCCATGTCCAGTGGCAAGCCATCAAATAACAAGTGATACATGGACAATGGGTGCCTTTAAACCGGGAAACAAATCTTGATTCCCCAGTTTCTCCAAGGCAAAGGCTCGAAGGAATGAGTTTTTCCCCGAATCTCACCCCGCCAGATGTTCAAGATGCAGTGGCCAAATCCATTGGAAACACAAAGGGAGTGGAAAACCGCAAGGAACCCCTCCGTAGCTCAAGGACTACGGATTGCCTTTGAACAGGCTGGAGATAGTCAAGTTCTGCGTTCCCATGCTCAGCGCTGGAAGAATCAATCTCCCTTTGTATTTTACCCCAGCGTTGTTACCCAGCACTTCCCCGCAGATTACCATGGCACCCCAAATCACGTCAGTTTTGGAGGGATACTCTTTTTGGGGCCTCTTTTGTTGGCTCCGTGCGATTATTGCAGAGAAGTAATTGCCATGACCATGGGTAACTTGTGCCATCTAGTGGTGAACGCCCTCTTTTTTGGTGGTTTCCCTCATGGTCATCCCCTGTAAAGGACCTTTTGCTCAACCCCCATAAATATCCCAAAAGCATGGTCGAAAGCACCCCTGGACCTTCAAACCGCGGTGTCTAGTAGGCCATGGCCATGATTATAAGATCGAGTTGTAACCCATGTAGCTTAAGTACTCTCCTACAATTGAAAAGAACCAGGTTTCCTCTACACGTCAGGTGCCGTTCATCCCTCTTCGGGGACTTTGCTGAGCGCCAGGTGCCGAGTCCTCGAAAAATAAGGGACACTCAGCTTCTTAAGTGGATTGACAGAGGAGGAACGCGTAACCAAACGGTTTGTGCACCAAATCCAAACCCAAAAATAACAAGAGAGGGAACTCACCTATCGAGTGAATTCGCCCCAACAAAAAGTAAGTTCAAAATTACACCAACGTTACTTCCCCAAAAAGTGACTAAAGTCCGCAAACTTAGGAAGCGAGGGTATGGTTTTGCAGGGACTTGCCATGCTAAAAGTGGATGATATTGTTTAGGACAAACCACGAAATTACTTGGCTTCTGTTGACCCCTCTGCAAACAGTGCATAACTGGTGGGTCTTCGGAAAATCCAAAAGCGTGAACCAACAAGTTCACGTCCAAAGATCCGTTACCAAACAGCCAACTCCTCTGGAACTCTTGGGGCTCCCAGGACTCCATGCACAGTTCAAAGTGGAAAGGGCACAGAAACAAATCGCCCAAAAGCTCAAAATCCTGTACTGGTGAACATCAAAGTAGGTGGCACATGGAACTCAAATGGAGGTTCATCCACCCAAGAATGGAGCCATAGGTTCTGCCCCATGACCAAAACAAACACTTGCTTGCTTTCTGCTCCCCTAAAAGTTCTTAACTTTCAGTGCACAACGCTGGCCTCGTCCACCCAAACTGCTTAAACCGGCAAAACGGCACACCAGTGCTCAAAGCTCAACGATCGGTGATGATTGTGACCGCGACATGGCTACAACGACGCCGCATCAAACAAAAATCAGCGTGTGCATTCCGGCTGTATCTCCATTGTTATTTGCAGGAATCATTGTTTTGAGATAATGTCCAAACACCTAGAAATTCGTATGAGTTCTCAAAAGAACGATGAAACACATGGGAGATCAAAAAATGAGGCAACTGGGTTTTGTCGCACCCCATCTTTCAACATGCGGCCCTTGCGCGAGGCTCCCGGATTTGAACACAAAACACGTGTTTGTCGCTCTTGATGCCCCAAATTCGTCACGAGGTGTTCCCCAGCGGCCATGGCCATTGTGCTTAAGCTATGCTTTGGAAGTAATCTTGCCAGTGAAACATACTTGTTGGGAGATTGAACGTTCAATTCCACTATCCTATTGCACCATGCGTACAATTTGTCACACTCCTCACCGTGCTCGTCCTAACGCGCTTTCCTGTCTGGGAACGGGAGCAGAAGCAACCGATGTCCATGTTCAGAAAGCAGGCGCATTCTTTGGAGGCCTTGCCCCGACACCCCTTGCCATCTTTCTATCCAAATGGCCCGCTGTAGCTGTGTGTCCAAGCAAGAAGACATCCTTTTGATGTCAAAGGTAAGTCCACCAAGGAAAAGCACAAAGGGCCACGGAACCCACAACGGGGCAGTTTGAGAATTAAAGTGTCTGGCATAAGAATCAGGTGATTTGTGTTGACCTTCTCGGCAAGGGCGAAACTGTTGGATTCCTTTGTAATGAGAGGGATCCCCAATTTTGGGTTAGCCCTGCACAGGCGACTCGGCCTTTCCGAGGCTTCAGTCGCACTCCACAATGCCAGTGAGGGTTGCGGCTTGACGCGAACCTTTCCGGTCTGGGTGAAAGTCCCGGAGATGGATACACAGCTTCGCCTCAAGCCTCGGGTGTCGCCGGGCTAGCGGAGTCACACACATACAGTAAAAGGGATCCAGGAACCTCCTGGTCGCAAAACCCAACCCTTTCTGAGGTTGCTATAATTTACGCATTGGTGTTGCCAAAGCCCCCCCCCACGGTAACGGTGTGTTTGTTTGTTTTGTTTTTTTTTACTAGGGCTGTTTTTTTGTTACTAGGGCTGATTTTTTTCCTAGGGCTGGTTTGCCGCGGGGCTGGCAACATCCCCAGCATCACCAGCAGGCTCTGATTGGGTGGCAGTTGGGAGTTGCTGGGGGCTGGTGGATTTTGGCTGGCTTAGATATTCATGAGGGTGGGTCTTGGGGTGGTTTGGGGTTGATCCCCAAGACCCACCCTCATGAAGATCTAAGCCAGCCAAACCCCCCCCCCCCTAACTTAAACCAGCCCCCAGCAACTCCTAACTGCCACCCAATCAGAGCCAATAAACGGCGCCAAAGTCAAGTGAGGTTGGTGATGCCGGGGATGCGGCCAGCCAGCCAGCCAACCAACCAACCAAACCAGGGGACCAGCCCTAGTTTAAAAAAAAAAAACGCCTTGGGAGAAAAAAAACACAAAAAAAAAAACGCCGGATCCCCCCCACCCCGACTTTCGAACGAAACGATTCCAAGCAATCCCATACAATCCACGTAATATATCTATATATATATATACATATTGATATACCAGCATTTGACCCGTTGGAGGCGCACATGTGCGTCAATGTTGCATTTGAATGTTTGAAAAACAGCGGAAAATCTAGAGGGTGTAGCCCGCCGGAAAAATCCAGAGCTCGGCTTGGCAAACTTCCGCAGCTGATCCCTTCTCGAGTGGATTGGCACACACACAATACCAAGCTTTTTCCCCAACAGCTGAAAGCTTTGGTCTCAGCCCAGATAGGCTCCGGGGTGGGGCGGCCCAGCAGGGTTCCACCAGAGGTTCACCAGGTTCTGCAGAGGGCTGCAGGGTGGTGAGGCAGGGTTCCACCAGAGTTCCACGAGTTTCATGAGGCTTCCCCCCCGCGGTTCATCAAGGTTGCACCAGGGGTTACACAGCGGGGTGGTCCGGGCTGGTGGGCCTGAGGTAAGGTTCTACAGCGTTCCACGGGATTCCACAGAGTTCCACAAGGATTCCACAAGGGTTCCACAAGGCTGCAAGGTGTCTCACAAATCTTCTGCAAGGTTCCGTGGTTTGCCCTGCAAGGAAGCAATGTGTCGTGCGCCTGCCGTCTGAAAAGCCATCAGAGAAGTAAATTGAGCTCAGAAGATCGCTTTGCTCATGGGCAGAACACTAAGCAACACCGAATTCAATGGCTTTCAGCGCAGTTTCACTGCTTCACTTTCTCAGACAACGCTGTGCGAGATGTTTGGCTTTGTGGCAAACCAGATCACGTTGCGAGTGTTACTTGGTGGGCGTTGGGCTTCTTGGGTTCCACGACGCTGCGAAGGCTATTCCACGAGGTTTCCACCAGGTTCTGCAAAAGCTGTGGGGCAGCCCTGAGGAAAGGTTTCAACAAAGTTTCACGCTGAGTTTTACGAGGGTTTCACGAGGACGGTTTGCGTTCACCGGGCCTAGGAGGCCGGGGCCCGATTGCACTGTCAGGGCCCGATTGCACCGTCGAAGCCCTATCAGGCGATCGGGGCCGTCGCCGATCGAGGCCCGACTCAGTCGGGCCCCAAGCTGGCATCGCCTATTTTGCTAGATACAATTGTAAGGCCGCATCCTAAGGAAAACCGGCGTTGAGCTATGCTATGGGTGGCTGGGGTTGGTGGGAGCCCGCTTGCATGACGGGACCATCGAATTCCGGTCGGGGCTTGATTGCACCGTCGGGCCCCGTTCGGGCCCCGATTGCACCGTCGGGCCCCTATCGGGCCCGACTGCGCCGTCGGGCCCCGATCAGGGCGCGATTGCGCTGTCACTCTTACCTTTGCTTATACAGTTAGAAGGCGGCATCCTCAGCAAAACCGGCGGTGAGGTGGGTCCCGGGCGGGTTCCGCAAAGATTCTGGGAGGGTGTGGCGCTGTTAGGGGATATCGCCTGAGCTTATTGTTTGTCACCAAAAAGTCCAAAGTGCAGGAACTTAGAGAGTGAGCCAATGTCGGCTCGCCGCCAAACTTGCTGCGGCTTTGGCACCACTAAATCATACGACACTTGCAAACCATGACTATGCATCAACACTAAGAGGCTTCCGAACCGCAGCAAGCCCACATCTGGGGAAGACAGGTAATGCAATCATTGCTCAGCTTCTATGTCATAATTTGTCTGCCCTATGATACCAGAAGTGCCGGCGAAGCCAGTGGACGTTTCAAAAATGTATAAACTATAGTTCTCTTTTTCTCTCTATTATAGGTTATCTTTATATTATTCTTTCCTTCTTTCTTTGCATTCTTTCTTTTCTATGCACCTTTCTTGCTGTATTGTCTTTCTTCGTTTTTTATTTTTTGTAAAATTCTGTCTTTCGTTCCATCTTCCTTCCTTTTTTTCCCTCCTTCCTTCCGTCCTTCCTTTCTTTCTTTCTTGCCTTCCTTCTTGCTTTCTTTCTGCTTTTCTTTCTATCTTCCTTCCTTCCATCTCCACTCTCCTCTCTTCTCCTCTTCTTTCCTTTCTGTCCTGTCATTTCCTTTCCTTCCTTCCATGTTTCTGCACTTATTCATGTACTCATTTTCCTGCATTTCTGTCATTGTTTCTTTCTGTCTTTCTTTCTTTCTTTCTGTCTGTCTTTCTTTTGTTTGTTTCTTTCTTTCTTTCTGTCTGTTTTTCCGTCTTCTTTCTCTTTGACCTACCTACCTATCTGTCTACCTATCTTTCTCTATCTCTATTTATCTACTATCTAACTGTTTATGTGTGTAGCTACCTATCGATCTGTCTATCTATGCTGCCAGCCTGCCCATCAATCTTCCATCTATCAACCAATCTGTCTATCAATCTTCTCCCTATCTATCTATCTCTATCTACCTACGAATCTACGTACCTATGTCTCGATCTATCTATCTCTGTATCTATCTATCTATCAGTCTACCTTTCTATCTATATTCTCCCTGTATTTTTCTATCTTTCTGTCTATCCATGCATCCACCCATCCATCCATCCATCCATCCACCCATCACTATATCCATCTATCTATCTACCTACCTGTCTGTCTAGCAAAATCTCTCTCTCGTTCTCCACCTACCCTAGACCTCTTTACTTATCATGTTGTCTATCCACCCTCTAGATGTGCATCCATCCATCCATCTACCTCTCTCATATATAGATGAATATATATATATATATATGCGAGTTGTACAAATTACTTTGCCGGGGGAGCCCCCAATTGCGATTGGCCTACCTTGGGCATCGTTGCTGTTTCTGTTTTGAGTTCCGCCGTCTTATCTCAAGCGCTGGCCTTCCTCCATACAACTGGAAACAGGAAGGAAGTGGCGTAGCTCGGATGGGCAGGCGCTCACTGGTGGAACTCGTCCAATCGCCGTCCAATCGCGGAATTCAGCGGTGAAACTTTGGTTTGCAGCTTCCAGCTCTTGCCAGCAAGCAGACTGGAAAGCACGGTCCGGCCCGACAAACGAAATCAACATTCAGGACTTTAAAGGGAACTTTTGCTCGAGATCGTGCAGTCAAAATCAGCGAGACGTGCGTCGGCACCATGCAACGTCCAAACTCAGAAAAACATGTTGCCCTTTCGCGGTCCAATCGCCGGCCTTTCGCGGCTCGAGTTTTACCAATCGCGCGATTCAACCAAAGTTTGTCCATCTGTACCAAACCTGTACTTGGCCTTGCCAAAGTCCTGCGCCTGCCACGCAGTCTGTACCTCACCTTGCGAAAGCGCTGCGCCTGCCACGAAATCTGTGCCTGACCCTTTAAGCGTTGCGCCTGCCACGAAATCTGTACTTGACCTTACGAAAGCGCTGCACCTGCCGCAAAATCCGTACTTGACCTTGCGAAAGTGCTGTGCCTGCCACGAAATCTGCGCCTGACCCTTTACGCGCTGCGCCTGCCACGAAATGTGTACTTGACCTTACGAAAGCGCCGCGCCTGCCACAAAATCCGTACTTCGCCTCACAAAATCCGTACTTGACCTTGCGACAGTGCTGCGCCTGCCACGAAATCTGTGCCTGACCCTTTACGCGCTGCGCCTGCCACAAAATCCGTACTTCATTGACCTGCGAAAGTGCCGTGCCTGCCACGCAATGCAAACCGGCTTGCGAAACCTTCGCGGTGCCGCGCCAACGGGCCCGCGCCCCGAGACTGCCCGAACGCGCTCCGAACGCGCTCCGGCCAGGTGCCGCGATCAGGCTAGCTTTCGAGCTTCCCGAAGCACCAAAACTCGGAGAAGGTTACACTTTTTTCACATTTCTATTCTCCCGCCACACGCGCGTTTCCGCGTGTTTCTTCCTTCTCCCGTCATCTGTCTCAGCGAGCTAGCTTTCAATTAGTTGTGTAACGCAGAAGTTCCTTCTAAACTTCCTTTGATAAAATACGTAGGTTTGGAGGAGACTGAGTAAAGTACACAAAATTACTTCAATGTGAGTATTTCGGACGCTCCAGCTGATGGTGGATCCAGCGGCTGGCCCTTTCCGAGCAGAGTGGTTCGTTGCCCAAGTGGGGGAGCTGCTTCAAGACAGGCCCTCAAACTGGCTGGCTTGCAACATGTTCCAACATTTTCAGAAACTCGCTGAAGCCTACACATGATTAGAAGCCCATGCTGTGTTCCAACACGACTTCATACCATTGGGTTTTGTTCGTAGCGAAGCTCGGAGCACACTGACATGGCTATTCTCGGTGGCTGTTCTCCCCCTGCCAGAAAAAGGCAGATTGTGGCCTGCTTAGTGGAAAGACGAAAAGACATGATCGCAAGAAGAGCAGCCAAGAAGTGCTATGGTTGGACCAGCCTCCAACATACTTGGTGAACAATAACCCCCGTGTGATGTCCAAAGACCCGTGCCCGTGTCCAATTGGAACCCATACATTAGGCTCCCACACACATTGAAGTTCACAGGCCAAATTTATTCAGTCCTCCACATTGGGTGTGCACTAAACCATGTTGGCAGGGAAACCTTGCCAAAGGCGGATGTTTCCCCAAGCCTCCTGGGGCCATGGGATATTGAGAGCTGTGGTGGGGAAAGATTGAGCTCCTATACCCCAGGTCCGAAGAACCCGGATTCTTGTCTGTGGTTCTGTCCCTGTGCCATAGTCGAAGCTGTCCATTCGCAAACAGATGGGGCGGCGCAAGCGCATGGATTCAGAAGTCGGTTTATCAATCAGGCCTTCCCATTGAAGGGTCCCTGAGGCGAATGATCCGCCATAAATCCATTCCAACCTTCAAACCAAAAGCCAACTAGACTATACATAGGGCAAGGAGTGAAATCCCTTGGGCCACCGCCTTGAACAACTCACCCCGTGCTGTGGATGGAAGAAATCCATTTTGCACCAAGAACTGGTTTCTGATGTTTCCCCTGTAAATGCCAACAACCGTTATGGTTTCAACCACGGCTTCTTAGGTGCTGCGAACGGATTTTCGCACATCCACAGCGGAAGCCAGCCCTTGCAACCAATTTCGCCCCCATCCCGGACCAAAAACAAGCGCGTCCCTCCGGTTGAACTTCCCGAGCCCAGGCAACTCGTTGGGCGGAGTGAAGGAGCTCACCTCCACGTCCTGCGGAGGCTTCAGCTTCGTCGGCCAAGCTCTGTGGTTCGGAGCCAGGACAGGCTCCGGACAATTCCCTTTGGTCTGGGGATGCGCATTTTCTGGCTGGTTTAGAAAATGAGGGAGGCAAGCTATTATTTGGCTTCCTTCAAAGTCATCCTTAAGATCATTCCCAACCTCCAAGGTGATTTCCTACTGATATCGGGTTTGCCGCAGTTTGCTTCAAGACTAGGGCCTTAAAATGGCTGCCGCCCTGGTTTTACATTCACCCCGCAAAGGGCTACCCTCAAAAGATGGCTGACAAACCCTAGCGACCCACACCCCACAGGGGAGTTGTTGCACCCCGAAGGGCACAGGCCTGCCCCTGAAAAGAAGCAGCCAGCTGGGTCTTTTTGGAGAAACCCCACATTACTTCCCATGCAAGAAAGGGAATGTATAGACTTCAATGGGGGCACGGTGGTTGGTGCTTGTCCTCAGCTGGTATAAAGCCCTGATGCATAAGCCCCTCGTTGACGGCATTTCATGCGTGGATTGTCCCACAAAAGCTTAATCTTGGGTTTTGCCAAAAGCATGGTCTTGGGAAAGCAAGACATGATGACAGGCCTTCGTAAAACCAGATTCTTCCCTTGCACCGATCTTCCAACAAACATCAAGTCTAAATTCAAGGACAGTGAGCCAGACGTGTATCTTCCAGTACTCTTCCGTTACAATATTGCAGCTGAGAGTACTTTATGTAGTACATTTGATACTCTGGATCAGTTACAAGTTTACAGGACCCACCCCGTATTCTCGTTCTGTCAATTGTCAACAGTTGTTCATGCCCTCATTGGGCGCCCATGGCTCGGGAGCATGTTTTGCCAATGGAATGTGGCCCACCGGTACACAGAAATTGCGACGCTCAGATTCTGTTCTGATACTCTGGGAGGAAATCCTGCACCATTTGGAATGGATGAAACCCTAAAACTATCGGACTGAAGCGCCAATCTCAACAGGTGCGAAGTGGATTCCATCCACATTACTACCTTGAACAATACCAGTCTTGAAGAAGACTGCCATCAAAATTGCGGATCCGGCACTGAAAAATGTCTACTGACACTTCTGTCACTGGAAAATTGGGCGCCAAAAAGATCAAAAGGACACAAATGCCCTACGGCCCTTTGAGAGCAACCCGTGTCCGTGTGTTGTGCAGGGTGCCCTTCGGTTGGCGCAAAAGGCCCGAGGAAGCCAGCCGTAGCAACCGCCCGAAGTGTTTCAGCCGTTCGGACCGGGCATCCGGCAACCGGCCCAGCAGATTCACATGGAAACCCGCAAGCCAACGAACTCTCTTAGGGTATTGCTTTATCCCGAAAAAAAAAAGATCGGACACCCCAATGGTTGGTGTCAAAGTTTCCTTTGTGGCTTCCTTTGCTTGAGAATTGGTGTTGCCGGAGGCAAGCCGCCTCGCGAAAAGAAACCCTTGGGAGGGAAGCCACAGAGCTACTGACGGCTACTGATGGACCAAATCCACGCGATCCGCGCATCCAAGTGTGGTGGGTGGCTTCTCCGATGCATAGGGCTTCATACAGCGCAGGGTGCTGTCCATCAGTGGGTCTGGCTTGCTTTGAAAAACATTCTGGATGAATGATACTCTGCAAACTGAAGTTAGGAACCCCTAAAGGAACCTTCTTCTTGGATGAGCTCACAACCGTCCTTGCGAGCTCGCCATACTTTGCCGAGAAACATTGCAGTATTGGAGGCAGACCGAGAACCTGTTCAATAACCGCTAAACTGCAAGGATCCTTCAAGGGTCCTCCACAAACCCAAAAGGCACAGATAGCGCTCTCTTGCACTTGCCAGGTCTCGCAAGATGGCAAAGTCAACCACAAAGCGATTCCTCTCCACCCATTTGAGGGTGGTATCTCGAACATGTTGATTCAGGTTTAGACCATGCAATATGGTAACAAGGATGCCGCCACATCACAAACAAGCGCACTTCTTTTTCCAATGACTCCTTGCAATGACTCCTTGCAATGACTCCTTGCAATGACTCCTTGCAATGACTCCTTGCCATGACTCCTTGCAATGACTCCTTGCAATGACTCCTTGCAATGACTCCTTGCAATGACTCCTTGCAATGACTCCTTGCAATGACTCCTTGCAATGACTCCTTGCAATGACTCCTTGCAATGACTCCTTGCAATGACTCCCTTGCAATGACACCTTGTAATGACTCTCATGATGAGAACAACTCAAGTGAACCCAGCGGAAGAACCCTTCGCCATGCTTTCGGCAAGGAGTCATTGCAAGGAGTCATGGCAAGGATTGCAACTTGCACTTGACTCCTTGCACTTGCAACTTGCACTTGACTCCTTGCACTTGCAACTTGCACTTGACTCCATGCACTTGCAACTTGCACTTGACTCCATGCACTTGGCTCCTTGCACTTGGCTCCTTGCACTTGGCTCCTTGCACTTGCAACTTGCACTTAACTCCGTGCACTTGCGACTTGCACTTGACTCCATGCACTTGGCTCCTTGCAACTCCTTGCAATGACTCTCATGACTCCTTGCAATGACTCCTTGCAATGACTCCTTGCAATGACTCCTTGCAATGACTCCTTGCAATGACAATGACTCCTTGCAATGACTCCTTGCAATGACTCCTTGCAATGACTCCTTGAAACAAGCAAGGAGTCAAGTGCAAGTTGCAAGTGCAAGGAGTCAAGTGCAATTGACTTGCGAGGAGTTAAAATCTCTTCTTAGGGCGGCGGGGTAGTGCCGACGACACTACACGAAAATCGACCCTCTGCGGGGATCGGCGTGGTCGAGGTGCAAAAACTCGGGTTTTTTGCGATGGTGCTCGCGCGACCCTCTGCGGGGATCGGCGTGGTCGAGGTGCAAAAACCCATGGTTTTTTGCGATTTCTAACATGCTCGCGCGACCCTCTGCGGGGATCGGCGTGGTCGAGGTGCAAAAACCGAGGTTTTTTGCGATTTCTAAAGTTCGCGCGACCCTCTGCGGGAATCGGCGTGGTCGAGGTGCAAAAACCCATGGTTTTTTGCGATGTTTAACCTGCTCGCGCGACCCTCTGCGGGAATCGGCGTGGTCGAGGTGCAAAAACCCATGGTTTTTTGCGATGCCTGCTCGCGCGACCCTCTGCGGGGATCGGCGTGGTCGAGGTGCGGTGCTCGCGCAACCCTCTGCGGGGATCGGCGTGGTCGAGGTGCAAAAACTCGAGGTTTTTTGCGACTTTTGTTGTTCGAACTGGTCCTCGGGAGTTGTCTCGTGGTTCGCGCGCCTGCTCCCGGAACCGGCGGGTCGCGGGTTCGATTCCTCCCTGGTCCGCGGGCGGGCGTCGCAAGATGCAACTTGCATTTTAAAGCAACTTGCGCAGAGCAACTTGCGCAGAGCAAGTTGCACAGAGCAACTTGCGCAGACCAACTTGCACCGACCAGTTTGCGCAGAGCGCCTTGCCTAGAGCAACTTGCGCAGAGCAACTTACGCAGAGCAACTTGCACAGAGCAACTTGCACAGAGCAGCTTGCACAGAGCAACTTGCAGGGAGCGCAATTTGCACAGAGCAACTTGCAGGGAGCCACTTGCAGGGACCAACTTGCCGGAGCAACTTGCGCGGAGCAACTTGCGCAGAGCAACTTGCACAGTGCAACTTGCATAGAGCAACTTGCGCAGACCAACTTGCACCGACCAGTTTGCGCAGAGCACCTTGCCTGGCGCTGTCTCGCGCTTGCTTCACAAATGCTTCGTGTAGGGAAAAAGAACGCATCCTGCAGCGTTGGGCCGACCTCGCTTGCGATGTTCTGCTTTCGGGCCAACCGTGGTCTAGTTTATACGTGGGTGTGAATTTGAACTTGTGCTTGAAGAAGAAGTATCCTGAGCTCAGTCTGCGTACCCATCAACTAACGAGGGCACCGCAGAAAACTTGTTGGTTTCCTTTCTCGAATTCCTTTCTACACCAAAGCGGCACCCAAGATTTGGATCCTTGAACACCTGCTTGGGCTAGGATAACGACCGCAGGAACCACCCGCATACCGCCCACCTGGCCAATAATTTTGGTCGGTTCAGCTGTGCTCCCCAAACTGAACCATGATAATCAACCCCAAACGAGGCCCCCAGTTGAGCTCTTCCGTACAAAAGAAGCAGCAGCGGCAACCAGCTGCAGGAAATTCTACAAGCCAATGAAATACCCGAGGGTTGGGGTAGCTTGTAGAATTTCCTGTTGGTTTGTTACCAAAGCAAACAGAAGCCGGTCCTGCGCCACGATGAAATTCTTCCCGTCGTCCGGCGAGCGCACGCGCATGCGCTTCATGCGCCGCGGTCCCAGCTCCTGTCACCAGCAATCAGATTCGCCGGGAATCGTATCCGAGTGGTTTGAACCGGAATCCCAGTCTTCAGATGGGGAAACCCCCTGAGTGGCCTATGGTGCAGTGACTCAGAAGATTCCCTTTAGTTTTGAACGGCGGTTTTCCTTAAGCAGATGGGGACCCTTTCGAGCCGAGGGCAGCCTGAGTTCCAGTCAGGCACTGTGGTACTTGTCGGCCCTTGCCAGATCTTGATGGGGTTGGCTTCTGCTCTCTAATGACTCTAGTGCAACACCAAAGCAAACCAAGACAAGCACGCAGGCAAGCAAGCAGGCAGGCAAGCAGGCAAGCAGGCGCAGGCAAGCAAGCAGGCAAGCAGGCAAGCAAGCAAGCAAGCAAGCAGGCAGGCAAGCAGGCAAGCAGGCAAGCAGGCAAGCAGGCAAACAGGCAAGCAAGCAGGCAAGCAAGCAAGCAGGCATGCAAGCAAGCAAGCAAGCAGGCAGGCAAGCAGGCAAGCAGGCAAGCAGGCAAGCAAGCAGGCAAGCAAGCAGGCAAGCAAGCAAGCAAGCAAGCAAGCAAGCAAGCAGGCAAGCAAGCAAGCAGGAAGGCAAGCAGGCAAGCAGGAAAGCAGGCAGGCAAGCAAGCAAGCAAGCAAGCAAGCAAGCAGGCAAGCAGGAAAGCAGGCAGGCAAGCAGGCAAGCAGGCAAGCAGGCAGGCAAGCAAGCAAGCAGGCAGGCAAGCACGCAAGCAGGCAGGCAGGCAGGCAAGCAGGCAAGCAGGCAAGCAGGCAAGCAGGCAAACAGGCAAGCAAGCAGGCAAGCAAGCAAGCAGGCATGCAAGCAAGCAAGCAAGCAGGCAGGCAAGCAGGCAAGCAGGCAAGCAGGCAAGCAAGCAGGCAAGCAAGCAGGCAAGCAGGCAAGCAAGCAAGCAAGCAAGCAGGCAAGCAGGCAAGCAGGCAAGCAGGCAGGCAAGCAAGCAGGCAGGCAAGCAGGCAAGCAGGCAAGCAGGCAGGAAGCAAGCAAGCAAGCAGGCAAGCAGGCAAGCAGGCAAGCAGGCAAGCAGGCAAGCAGGCAAGCAGGCAGGCAAGCAAGCAAGCAAGCAAGCAGGCAGGCAAGCAGGCAAGCAGGCAAGCAGGCAGGAAGCAAGCAAGCAGGCAAGCAGGCAAGCAGGCAAGCAGGCAAGCAGGCAAGCAGGCAAGCAGGCAAGCAGGCAAGCAGGCAGGCAAGCAAGCAAGCAGGCAAGCAGGCAAGCAGGCAAGCAGGCAAGCAGGCAAGAAGCAAGCAAGCAAGCAAGCAAGCAAGCAAGCAAGCAAGCAAGCAAGCAAGCAAGCAAGCAAGCAAGCAAGCAAGCAAGCAAGCAAGCAAGCAAGCAAGCAAGCAAGCAAGCAAGCAAGCAAGCAAGCAAGCAAGCAACTGAATAGACCAACACAAGAAATCACAGTGGTCCTTCTGAATTCATTCACTCAACTCGCCTCCTTGCTCCACTTTGTGAGCTTTGCTCGGATCGTCTCCCAGTCGGTTGGCCGAACAAACTTCTTCACGGTCCTCGGGCCGGAAGGGTAATTCAGGTACGCCCCCAGCAGTAGGGCCAACTCCCTGTGTTGACACGTGGTCACAACGATTGCTTTAGACAACACCTCGCACGCACACCTCCAGTGTTGGTCTGTACCAGTCTTCCGCAAGGTGGTGCGTTTGCTGGGGTGGTGATAGTGGGGAGTGCCCCCAACGTCAATGCTCCTTCTCCAACCACATTTGGCCAGTGGCAAACATACGCTATGGGGTAAGCATACTTGAACTGGTGTTAAATACGGGGTCTTGAAAAGGTAGAAATTCTGGGCTATTTAGCACCCAGTTGGTTTCCCTTCAAATGGGACCGGGGTCTGCTTCAAATTAATATTCTTGATCAACTGGCGGGTAGCGTCCTGTATGCGTCGCTTGTGTCTAGCAAGTTTGGGGCCCAGCGGCCTTCACTCGAAGCGATTTCACGAAGGGATTGAAATGGGCGTTCCTTCACATGAATGTGTGTGTTCTTTGAGGGTGCCGTTTCTGGGGGTGGGTTTACGTTTCCCTGTAAATTACAGGGAAACCAAAAAAAACACCATTGTCTTTTCTTTCCTTTTGGTAGGAAGTAACCAACTTCCGACAACACACAATTCAACCAAAGGGGAACCTCATGTGTGTCCAACATGAATCGTACTTGCATCTTGGACACTCGTTGTTTGCTGGTTGAACCAAAGAGCGCAAAAACATGACTCAACTGATGCCACTGGAGAAGTGGAGAGTTCAACGCAACAGCTCAAGTAAACACCAGCTACCCGCACCCAGTTTCTTCCCATGTCTGCAGGGCAAGCAGCGGCATACGTGAACTGGTGTCCACATCATCCGAGTGCCGCTTGAAACTCATGTGCACCTGAGAGATGCTCAGAGACGAAGGTCAGGGCTGGGCCGGGCCGGTAAAAAAACACGCACAAACACACAACCACAGTTTGCTTTAAATGGAATAATCCACACAAAAGAAGTTTACTTGGCTAAACATGACTGCAAGCACACAAGTGCCAAAAGGTGAATCCGACTTCAGCCTGTCACAGTTTTCTTGGTCCGGTATGCTTCAGAGTCACTTGGATGTCCCTGTGTCAACTCAAACTACACCCCTCTGCCCACTTTGACCTCCCCCATCCGTAGATACCATTGGCCGCGAAACGTTGGCCGCCGGTAAACCTGGCTGGGAGGTTTGTAACCCACTTTATACCCAAGCTTCCCAAGCCCCGGCGAAGGGCCCTCAGGATATGCTTTACCCAGCCCTAGGCCGAGGCTGCACAGTCGCATACAATCATGTGCACGGTGAAATGACCGGGTCCCACAAGCCGCTCAGTCTCCGCTGTGTCGCCATGATGCCTGATTCACGTCGAAGAACTGGGTTTTGGGGTCCACCAGCCTGAGAAAGACAAGGCGTGCCGCAACCCCTTTAAAAGCCAAACGAAAAAGAGCCAGACACCCACCCCCCCCCATTTTAGACATGGCCCTAATTTGACACAAATCCCTTTGAACGTCTGTTGGAGCCTCCTTGAAACTTCTGAAGTGAGGTGCTGTAAATGATAGAAACAGGCAGCGCTAGCCGAAGAACGCTCACAAATAGGCTGGGTTTTCAGTCCATTGTTCACTCAAAATCACTAGCACCTCGGCGCGTGAGAGTGGGCCGTCGAAAGGCCAGTTGATTCTGGTATTTGCGCCTTTACCTGGCACGGGGCCCAACAGTACCCATTTGAGGCGTCGTTCACGAAGTCAGAAGGGACTGATCACAGGAATCCGGCAGGGGTCTCAAAAGCCGAAAGAAACTTGGAACATGGTTCGACAGAAACTTGTCATGGCTATGAATGTAAGTAGGGAACCCCTCAAAAGTGGGAGGTGCACATCAATCTCAACCTGAATGCTGTCCACGGTCACTCCAAATTCTTTCGAGGGCAGACATACAAATCAACAGCAGGGTTCCCGTGCCAGCTTTGTTGTTCAGGGACATACCGGCATAATTTTGGAGTTCCTTGCCGAGGTTTAGTTGAGGCAAACAGGAAAACATGAGCAAAGACGCGTGTCTTTCTTGGGGTCCCCCATTTAAAGACAGGACGACTGGGGCTCTGATAGACCTGCACTTTGCGGGTGCTGTCTAACAAACCTCACCGTCAGCTTTTGCCCTCGAACCTTCAATGTACAAGGATGTTGTTTGTGGGCACGGGTTGTCCATCCAAGTGTCTACACTACACTTTTAGGGGGTTCTGGTTTTTCAATCAGGGGGGTCTAAAGCGCTCCAAAATACAGCGTACCCTCTTTCAATAAGGAAACGTGTATGTATATTAATATACATATTATATATATAACGTATATAATATGTATACTAATATTGATTCGTCTAGGGACGTCACTAGGAGGGCGCGGCGTCACCCAAAGTGCTACCTGCTTTGGGGTACTTGAAATTTGGTTGGTGAACTGTTATGAGTTGCCTAGACGTGTACGGTTTTGGTTGCAGGGTCAAACGGGCAGCAACCGGCCGAGGGGGAGTCTAGAAGCAACTTGGGTCTGTTTTCTCGAGGGTGCCTTGTTTTTTGTGGAACCCAGCCACCACTTTGGGATTTTGGGAGTCCACCGAAGAAAACAACTCCACTTAAGGTTCCTTTCGGGTGGCTCACAAATATCTTACCCCACGTCAGCTCCGTTTCGGCTTTGGCACATGGTCATCTCCGTCAGCTCCGGCATGTTTTGCCACATGGACTCCGTGGAACTTGTGGAGCCCGGGCAGTTGGTCTGGCCCCAAAAACGCCGCGAACGGGAGGTGAACCTCTGCCCTCCGTGGAAACGGCTGTTTATTAGGCTTGGTTGGCTCCAAACTTGACTTCACTCAAAACATCGGGATTTGTTGCAGGTAACCACTGGCTCCAAATCTTGTTGGGGCATCACTGGCTGCTGTCAACACCTTGTCAAATGTATGTATGCCGTTTTGTTGGGCGACAGGCATCTATGACCGTGATTCGGCGTGATTTGGCTTGATTTTCTCCCCCAGGATGTCGAACGTGGATATGTCGGATTTGTCGGACCCATCATTTTCAATGTATGCTTCTCAGACCAACATTTGGTTTATTAGCAATGACGCTGCTTCTCAGGCCAACGTTCGTGAATGTGGGGCATTCGAGGTTTTTCCGATAATCGGGCCACATCGCGCCGAATCACGCTCGGCCACGCTAGCAAGTGGCATGCGACAAGGTCATAGACTCCGATAAGCCCAATGTTGTCCTGAGAGTCTGAGAAGCTTACATACCAATGTTGCTCTGAGAGGCCGATAAAGGTAAATTTAGCTTACATGCCAATGTTGTTCTGAGAGGCCTATAGAGGCAAATTTCGTAAATTTGACACACATGAATTGGTACGGAACGCAAAGACAAAAATATCAAACAGGTGGTCCAGCCGCGGGCCAAATACATTGCACTAACCACTTGGGTGTGTTTGCTCGCTCGGTACCCTGTTCACTTGAACCCCATTTTACCCTCATGGTGTCTTTTGTTTGGGGACCCCCTAAAAAATGGCTTCGGCTTTCCTTTTGGTGTCCCTTTAAACCCGGAAACAGGGGCGCCAACTCGCAAAGACGAGCCCATTTGGCCGCTCCGAACCGGCCTCACGGGGCACTTCAGGCACCTGGTTCCGATCGTCTTCAGCCTCCGGAGCTCGCCCGAAAACCGAATTGAAACTGAGAGGTGAAACCGGAAAAGGCAAACCTTATGCTTTTCCCCCCCCTTTTTATATCCTCATCTTCAAAGGCTAAGGGACTCTGGGAAAATTGTTTGTTCAACCACCCGCCTTAAGTCTCCAGCATGGTCTGGAACTTGTAAAAACTGTGGAGGCTGCCAAAAGGGAAACGGCTTGGGAAATCCTGAACACACACAGAGCGGTTTCGGCTTTCGCCCGGATTTTGTCTGGTCTTCCCAAGCCGAAGGTGAAAGAGTCTTGAGGAAAACTCGAGGAGGCGAAACCAGGGAAACGGCTGGGGACCCAAGGAACCTATGATTCATGGTTTCTCCTTAACCCCAAAAATGGTACTCCCCAACAAACAACGCCCATATTGCCAGCCAAATGGTGGGTTCTCAATTGGTGTCCTTGACCAACATGTAATTCATGCTTCCCCAACCTTGTATGGCCGCAACGCAGCAGCCCCGGACGAACAAACGAGAAGAACCAACAACAAGCAAACATCGAAACACGTGCAAAGAAGAGCGACGCAAGGGAAATGGAGCTGGACCTCTGCTTGAAGCTAAACCTTAAGCCAAATAGAGCTAGACCCTGGAGACCAGCAAGTTCAACATGAGCTGGGTCACGAGGGTCAATTGCAAGACTCTGTGGCTGCAACCAAAAAACGATGTTCGCTGGATGTACACCAGTTCAGCAGCTTTCCTCCAACTGGTTTGAACTGCTGGTAGTCTTTTGGGGTTTCCCATTTACTTTCCCAGAACCAGGGCTTCAAATCCATACTCCAAACCAGCGGAATCCAGTGGTTAGCGGTATCCGGTGAGAATCCCGCATTCTGAATTGGCCATGGGTCAAAATCCCGTACCCCCAGTGAACATCCCAATCCCCACTAAAATAGGTTCTAAAATGGGCGGTGCACCGACAACCCCCAAAATGGGATCCCAAACGGTTTTGACCCACAGCCAATTCTGCAGAACGGCAAAAACCGAAGGACTTCAGAGAAAACCCGGTGGACGCTGGCGGCAACCAACCTGGCCTCCGCCACCGGTGAGGCCTCAGGGTCCTCCTGCACCTGCCGTCTTTGGCTTCCATTCCCTTGGAAAAAAAAAACACATATGAATCATGGGGGCTGGGGGGAAGGGGGGAGGGAGCAATAAGCCCCAAATAAGCCCTGAAAAAGGGGCCCCAAATAGGTGCCCATGCTATTTGGGCTCCCTCCCCCTTCCCTCCCACCCCCCCAGCCCCCATGAATGAACATAGCCATAGGTTCCCTTAGGGGCAAACCACAAATTCGTCCCTTAGGGGACAAACAACAAAAAAGGAAACCAAGAGGAACACAAAGAAAACTCATTGACATAAAGAGGCACAATGATAGAACTAGAGCACAAGAAAAGACCTTGACACGCAGAAAAGGGGGAAGAAACATTGTGGACAAGATTGAGGGGTCTCAAAAAACAAAACCGGGGAGCATCCTGCAGCACGGATTTCAAACACCTTCCAGATAGGGGAAACGAAGGAGCAAGAGCAAACAAGTAACGTGGGCCAAACCAAACAGTGGAAAACCGAATCCTAAAGACATGACCCTCTAGTGTGAACCTCGCAGAAACACGGCCGTGTGATTTCTTTCAAAATCCCATACCACTCCAAGGGGCCATCCCGCCTATTCCTGAGTGGCTTGTTTTTCACCAAACGCACCACCCAAGAAGCGGGATCCAAAGCAGCACCTGGTGGACGAGATACATATTGTCCAAGAAAGGACAACCAAAATGTCTCGTGTTTCTGACCAAGCTGATGTTTTTCTCCCCAAAGCGTAAGTGGCCCCGCCCCATCCCAAGAAGCACAAAGGCCGAGCACACCTTCGTGTTTTCCGGCCCCCATCTTCCCAAGGGCTCAGCCCAGACCTCCGGTTGTGTCCCTCGGGTCACTCGTTTCGGGTGTCCGATTTCGATCAAGCGGCTGCCAGGAGGTGGAAGGCTGAGGCCCCAAAGAGCCCCGGCACTGGCACGTGGAAGATGTCCGCGGGAATGCGCCTGGCGAGAAGACTGGGCGTGGTCAGATCCCTTGAGAGCTCAACTGGGTTAGATGGAAACCACTAAACCCTAAAAAGCTACAAAGCTAAGGGGATGGCTGGGAGCCACCAAGAAGAGATCCTCGAAATGGTCTGAATTGGGCTTGTCTTGAAATTGCCCTTTTTGGGGTGATTTGTTAAAGGATACCCAAGGTCACGACACAACGAATTGTCTACCCTGCCAAGGTCTCCGTGGAAAAAACTGTTTACCCTACATGGATGTCCGTGCCCAAGGCTCCCGCTGCGCGTGCGTGTCAAAACAAGGGACTGACTGACTTTTCTTGGGGTTTCCCCTAAACCAACCCCAAAAGGGTACCCCTGAAAAACACACACCACCACAAATGGAAGTTTGGTTTGGATCCAGCCAGGCATCCAAAAAATGAATATCTACCACCCCAAAAAAAAGAAAATGGGCAGTTGGGTTAACTGAATAATGCAGATTGAAGGGAAGCCACAAAACGATCCCGTCTAGCTCCACACAAAGGAGGAATGATCCAAAGGTCATTATATATATATATATATGTATTATGTATTTCTATGTGTCTGTATATATATATATATATATTATCATAGAGTGTTGATAAGATTGGACTTCTGCTCCATGTGTTTCCATGTGTTAGCAGCCAACAGAAATGGGAACTGCATTTGCAACAGATTGATATTGCACAGGGATTAGGGTTTGTTGCCAAGAAACACTACAAGCCTGAGTGGTTTTCCTGAAGCAAGCAAGCCCTGAAAGGGTGCCCTCGGGAAAAGCCACACCAAGTGGCACTCCTCCAATTCCAATACTATCCTGAAGACTAAGCTGAAATCCAACATAGACCTAGTCATATTCCCATTCCCTAACAAAGCAGCTGTCGTAACAAAATATGGATGCATCATTTCCACAAGGAGGCCCCCTGTGCACTTTGGTTGCTGAAGGCCATCTGGGACCCAACCAAAAAAACGAACTGCCACACGAGATCCTCTATTTCACTTGAAAAACCGGAAGTTTTCTTTGTAGAACACCTCGATGGTCGTGCCTTCTGTTGAGCTCCCGAAACCCCGACTCTGCCGCCTCTCCGGGTCCAGACCATGGCGGAAGGAGAGCCGCAGGCAAGCTGGGGCCGCCAGGTCTTTCAAGGAGGAGCTCGCCTCAGCCATAACGTGCTGGAAACCGCCAGAACTAGTGGAAACCACTGGTAGGAAATAAAAAAGGGAAAATGGAGGGACAGGTTAGCTACGATGCCTGGAAGCAGTAGCTTGGGGTTGGAGCCTTTGGGCAAAATGTATTTATGTTGAAAAACCGAACGGATGTTTCACAAACAGGTTGGGCCCCCACACAGAATCATGGGCACCGCTGCCTATGCTTCCGGAGCACTTGGATGCCCTGAAACATCACTGGGACTAACTCACCTTACAAAAAAGGGCCCGCAGGTGGTCATTCAAACTCCGGGCAAATTCAGCTGGACCCCTGATCCAGATGAGAGGCAATGAAGCGAGCAAAGGTCTGTGGCTCGTCTTCGATGAGCAGCTTCTCCTCGTGGGGCCAGGCTTGCAAACCTTGCTTGAAAACCCTGGGCACTTTTGCACTTTTAAATGGAAATCTCAGGATTTTGCGACAAACTGTTTCAACATCTGTTTTCTCAATGTGGCCAAAGAGCACGGAAACTCTGAAAGGCTTAAGGATCGTCTAAGGACAACTGAGTGCATCTATCCAAACTGACCAGGGATGCCTAGTCGATCTTGTTCGTCAACACCTACTTTTGGAAGAGAAGGATGGGGGAAAAGACTCGGCAATCAACCAACAGAAACATGGGTTCGATTCGTTCGTGCTCCTTTTGAAGGCACATGACAGCCTGTCGCGCGCATTTTGGAGCCTACAATTCCTCTTACATCACAGTGCGTGCTAACTTCGTTCAGACCACGACAACTGCTGTCTGACACAGGCTAAAGACGGGGAACATTGGAAGTCCTGTGTAAAGGGCTATGCTTGTTGACACTCCATGTGCAAGCAACTTAGTACATGCCAATCAAACCCATGTGATTGACCAATGTAGTAGGCACACACCTCTTTCAAAGCCTCCCGGTCTTGCTTAGGATAATTTGCAGATGTTTGTTGAGGTTTGAGTGGTCCGCGACCAAGCATGTACGCAGGTACTAGCAACCTGAGTACATTGCCATCCCATCACCATCCAAACTTTGTTTTGCCACCAGGCACAATGCTTACCAAATCCACGTTCCCAAACCATGGGCAAAACATGCAAGACATCAGAACAATGGGCGTGTCTCTTTTTAGGGGACCCCCAACACGGTGGTTGTCCGTTTGGTGTCGCGTTAAAACCAACCAAACAGAATTTCCCTCACAAACAAACAACCCGGATATGCTTGCGATGGCTACGAATTGCCCCTTCTTTGTCTTGTCCTTCTGCTCAAGCATCGCTTTGTCCCAAAGCCATGGGCAGAATGTGCCCGAAGTCCGTGGCAGCAGGAGCATGAGACATCAACCAACTCAACTCGTACAGGTGATTCTGAACGAAAAGTCACCCTTGTAACACCAAAGTAATCGCTTATGAGGAGATGGTTGGTGATCTAAGAGCCACACTCAATATCCATTGTCCCCACACAGCGCATGCGGGCGAACCCATAATTCCTATATTTCGGAAGGGGCCCCATGTCATCGGCTTTCTACAGTAGATGACTGTGAACATTGGCCGTCCTCTTTCAAGGGCCCCTGAAATCTGTTTGGGCCATTTGGGCTTCTCTCAAAATAGCCGAGCCCTCCACAATTCCTGGTTTCCTCTTAAGTTCCTTTAAAGCCGCAACAGGGTAGGTACCCTCAGCACCAAAACAAATCAGACCTACCTCTCACCGCTGGAACGTGCGCGCCGAGGCGCGAAGTCCATGTCGTTGAGATCTTCGCTGCGGCACATCAGCCTCGCGGAAAGAGCGGACACTGAAATGAGAGGCACTTCACCCTCTCCAAAACCACTGCAACATGAGCGAATACCCGACATCATGGGCACTTTATCCTCTCCGAAGCCAGAACATTTGCGGGTATGCCTTTCATGATGGGTAGATCCGCCTCTGCAAATCTGCTGCAACATGAGCGAAGCCCCCTCTCCCAGGGTTCCATGGCAATTGTCAACTTGAGGGATGCCAAGCAAGAAATCCTTGCTGAGCTGGTAGACTGTGTTGTCAGTTCTCATCAATTGAGGGATGTGGCTTTGACGGACTTTGATTTGCTAAAGTCCCCCGGAAAAAATGAGAATATTGCCAGTCCTGATAGATTCCCTTTAAAACCAACAAACAAAAATGACCAGTGGATGGATGTGGACAGGCGAATTCCAAAATCCACAGGCAAAAGGCATTTCCAGCATCGACCTTTGGCTTTGCAGAAATGGCAAACAATGGCCATTCAAAGACCTGCCAGGGAGTGCCCTGCCGCGGCTTCGAAACTGGCTGAGCTGAACCGACAGCCCAGGCCAACCGAACCAGCAGCCCAGGATGGGAAGCGTGAGGCGGAATCACTGTTTCAAAGCATATGGCAGCCAAAGTGAATTTTGATGTCTGCACAAACACCAGCAAGTCGGTGAGCAACCCCCCCTTTCCTAATGCTGGTTCGCATGACAAACTTGTTTGCAGTAGATGAAGGTGAATCGAGTGTACATGGGTCTGTAAAACGAGGAAGTATGATGAAATCCAGCGGTTGCAACGCCAAACTTGGCGGAATCCACTGGTTGAATCTCAACACGAGCACCTGCAATCACACATCCCGAGGGCCTCACCCCAAAAATGGCGGGATTCCCTTTTGGTCTCCCTTCAAATCGGTATGGAATCTTTAAAAAACTTAAACACAACACACACCCAGCCAAAAACAAAAACTCATTTCTTCCTCGGCACGCTGGAGTCATGAGCTGTGTATGCGCCGAGCAACTGCTGCAGACTCTCCGCCTTGCCGTGGACCTTGAGACTACTGTCCAACAACACCACGCCTCAGGATTTCGGGGCCAAAATCGGCTTCGGTTCTCGCTGCAGCTTTACGAGTAACATGGACCCAAACAACCGGTCTTAGAGGAATCGCCTTTCTCCCTTGGACTCCATTTTGTGGGTTCCATCTTAAATAGTTAGTTGCAGGGGAGTGGATTCCATTTTAGGAAGGGCTCCTCAGAAATGGCGGTAGAAGATCCGTGATTGCTTGATTCTCATCCAACTCGGTCCAGGCTATCACTTTACAGAGCGATTCCTTCATCCTTTAAGTGGCCCTACTCACTTCCAGAGTCTGGCAAGTAAATCGAGAAAATCGCGGGGGGTGGTGGGGGTGCCCTGAGTGCAAGTGCAATCCAGCTTCGCGAAAAGTGTGAGAAACCCCGGAAAAAAAAAGGTAAGCACCAGGAAATGACGAATCTGTTCCATGTGGAACCACACGAGCCAACATAGTCCATCCCCCAAACACCCATGCGGAAGACCCAAAGCAAGGTGCCGGAAGAAGCAACTTACTCACTCAAGTTGTTTCCCCAAAAAAGTCTCCTCACAAAAACAACTCACACGAATCCGTTCAGTAAGCTCACAGGGTCCTGGAGCCTAGCTCGCCTTTCCGTTCAGTAGGCTCACCTGCAAGTGAACTGTGCCGATTGGGCACTCCAACAGCAACTTGTTTATACAACAGGAAGGGGACCACTACCTGCTTTCACGAGCGGAAGTGGGAAGCAAACCTTCCCCAAGCCTTCCAGAGGGTTGTCTCAAAGGAATTCCTGAAATGTGTTTTGAGTGGTTTTGGGGTTCCCTTCTCAAGCCTAAAACAGGTATCAACACCGATATGTCCACTCAAAAATCCGCCTGAGCACGAAGCACTAGAGCTCTGTCAACTTCGGGGCCATGATAATTAAATGGTTGCTTTCCCTTCTTCCCACCAACGCCGTCGAAGGACAGCGTTGATCACGCCAATTAAAAGAGAACGATGCTTAAGCCATCCCAAAGAAAGAGGAAGACCCATCCCTGGCAAGTGGCCGTCGCAAATGCCTTTCAGCATCCGCCGGAAGCTGGAAACCATCGCCTGACCCAAAACGCACAGCGAGGAATGGTCAAGTCCCAATGGCTTCGGTCAATGGACGCGGCTTTTTTGGGGGACCCCTCATAATTGTGGCGTTCCTTTTGGATTCGCTTTCAAGCCACCAAAAAAGGAGTACCCTCAAAACGCACACGCCCATGTCAATGTATGAACATTGTAACATGTATCTTGGCAAGACAGACCCGGGAGAAACGGTGAGTCTTGAATGTCAGGATTGGTGATGAGCAAATGAGAAGACGTCCTCCGACACCGATTGACAGTTCTATATTCCTTTGTGTTAGGGTCCTTTTTTGGGCTGGCTTTTCTTGAGGAGTCCCATATTTAGACATAACGCCAATGGCACTCATCTAAATCTCACCCAAAATATATTTACAACATCTTCAAAAGCTTCCCTACTTCCACTTTCAAAAGAAGGCTGCCTAGAACGCATGGGGAAAGGGCGAACAACATCTGGAGCCTTGTCTAAACAAGGATGACCAGGCTCGGGCGGGTCTTGGAGTCTGGAGGCCTACATCTGATTGCATGTTCAAACTGATGCTTTCTCAGATTGGTGTGTGTGTGTGTAGTTGGGGGTTTGTCAACTTTTTATTGTGCCTTAACAAGTCAAACATAAAATAACATGCCAACACAATCAGGGGTACCCTAAGATTGCTCCATGGGCAGAAGTCGCGTGGCTAGTCACGCATCAAGGATTTCCCGGCAGCTCACAAGGTACAATAGGGGGAAATAGGGAAAAATAGGGGTTTCGACGACGGCGTCTTGCAAACCCCAGCTTCCCCGCATTACAGTATGCATACCCCTCTCTAAAAGACGTTGCCATTGAGAGACACGACTCTGCCATTCCAAAGCACAATCTTGCATGTCCTCAGGATTCCTCAGGATAACTCTAGCCATGTTCAGCCGTGATTGTTTTGTTTGTTGAGCGTTGCTTGCCCCTTACTCAAGAGGCTTACGAAGCCTAGGGTGCTCCTTAATTCTGTTAGCGACAGCACTGGAAACCATGGCAGGAACTGGGCAACAAACAAGTGGAAAACAGAGGGCGCTTAGTCGCTTGGATTACCGGGGGGCTAACCCTCCAAGACCATGATCCCTAAGGCATGTTGCCCAAACACACGAAAACCAGCAAGAACCACTCGCCTCGGCTTTAGCTTCCGTCTAAGGCAAGCAAGCCTGGCCCGTTTCCTGCAAATGTGAATGCCAAAGTGCGAACATAAGCTCTGCGGGCAAAATCCGCCCGTAGCTTCGGCTTTCTTAGCTTTCAGTGGATAGGTGCCTCTTGGTCATGGATGCATGCGGGCATGATCCAATGTGTATATACCTAAAGATCCTACAGGAAGGGTTCTCAAACTCCCCGCAACGGTTTGGGCCTGGAAGGTGCGCTATGATCAACCGAAGTTTAAAATGGAAACTTCCGTAATACGAAAAGTTGAGTGCGCAAAGTGGAAAGAGTCGAAAGAATCACACAAAGAAAGTCAGAAAGTGTTGAAAGGTGGGATCTACCTAAATGTCAGCACGGGCGGCAGTCAATTTTTCTTGAGCCAGTATCATGTCGGTATGCCATTACCTATCAACACCCCCCGCTTTGCAGAGGTGCGTTGGTGAGAACAGTACTTTGTACATGTTTCCCCCCCCAGACCTGAAGCAAAGTCCTCTGAGGCCGCGACAATGAAGACGTTGAGCCTCAGTGGAATAGGTGGCAAGCCATGGTGGTATGAGGCCTATTGCATCAATGGCCGCTGCAACTGCATTGCATTGAATCTTTTGCAGGAGCATGCCAATCGAGTCGGCCGACCACGACTTCCGTCGGGCAATACACATGTGATTTTCATGTGAATGCTTGAAACTGAATTCATTTTGTTGCCGCAAGCGGAGGCGATCTCACGACCACAGCTTCCGCTGGGCGAAATTGAAATGATATCCGGTGGTGGCGGCCGTGGATTGACCTACGGCCGCAGCTTCCGCCGGGCGTGCAAACTTGGCACAGCTAATGTGCGGCATCAATGGATGAAAGATAATAGTTTTCGAACATGACATCACCAATGAAAATTGAAAAGGTTACCGCAACAAAAGCCAAACTTTCGGTGACTGGTGCGGGTGCTCACCATCCCCACGGGCCCTGACGCCATTGCTCCCATCCAGAGGACCACCCGTACCAAGAGCTCCAGTCCTGGCGCCCCTTGTTCTTGCCTTTGCCCTTGCCCTTTCCCTTGGCATAGGGCTCGGGGCGGATGGACCGGGTGATTGCCCTCCACTGAGTGTTCCTCGCCTCGACGGGATAGGTTCTTGTCCGGCCGGATGAGAATTGCGGGATCTCCAGTTCGCCTGTGCTAATCGTTCCTTGGGAGTCGTGCTTTGCCCAGGAGGCACGAATAAAGCTGATCATCACCTCCAAGATGTTCTCGACGCTCCCTTCCGGGACGTATGCTCCGCTGTGCCCAATGATAATAGGCACCTGCTTGCCTGGAATGAAACGATAGGCACACATGACCGCAAACTGCATGATGGTGTAGAATCTCGCGTGGTGCGCGATGAAAGCCTCCGTTGACACGTTCAACTCGTGGGGATCGCGCTTGTTGGGGCCGGGAATGAACACCAACTTCGTGCCAGTGTTCTGAGACCCTCCCCGATCGCGCTCCTCCCGTGTGCGGCCAGGGTCAGCAACGACCGCTCGGGCGATCTGCCTAGGAAGTCCAGGCTTTCAGGGGTCAACCCTTGCGTAGCGCAATTATAGGCATAGAACGGGTCGACCGAGAGGCGGTCGGACACCTTCTCGCAAAAGGTAGCCGTCGATCTGTTGGTTGCCACACCTCTTATTCCAGCACTTCACAACCGGGATCTTCATCATGGTCGTGAAGAAGAGGTCTTCCCACTCTGGCTCGTTCTGGTAGCGGCTCCGAAGGTTGTTCCAGCCGCGACCATGCCCTTTCTCTCCCCTGGAGCTCGGGCACCCGTCGAAGGGTTGCAGGCGCAACCTGATATGTCGGCCCTGCAGGTCTCTCATTCGACTTCCCCTTCCGGGGAGCGAGCTCATCGATCGTGGCAATCTCAGTCACGGCGCCAGGAAGCAATTTGCCGTTCTTCGTCCCCTCAACGACAGTCCGCCAATGCCTCCAGGCCTTTTCTGCGGTCAGGGTGTTTTCACTTCTGAAGAAGTTCGGGTTGGTGTTCTGGGCACCTGGCGTGAGCTCGGATGTCAACGCTTCGCGGTACCTTTTGCGAAGCTCGGGGTACGCACGATTGAAATAGAGGAACTCATTCTTGCGGGTATGGAAAGCGTAAATAATATATGCATTTCCAACCCAATCGGCAGACATAAACGCCTCATCGCTCGTGAAGAGTCGAATGCCGTCTTGCATCATGAGCTCCGTATCGAAAGCAATCGTGACGGGCCTTCCGGCTCGCGTTCCCGCCAGCTTCCTCATCTGTGCCTCCCAGGGCGGCGTGGGGTTGAAGTAGACGTGGGCTCTGCCTGTCGACTTCGGATAGCCCCCCGGGACCAGGCCAAACTTGAGGATGCTCTCGGCCGACCTGAGATCACAGGTGTGGTAGAGAACAGCCGGGAAGCCCCTGCGCCAGAGATCCGTCTGCTCGGGATGCCGTACCGCTCTCGGGTATTGCCCGCCCAAGTACTTTGCCGCAGTGAACTCTTCGTCAAAGGAATACAAATTCGTCAGAATCGCCTGCTCAGTGTATTTCCTGGTGAGCTCGTTGTGGTGTCCTTGCACGGCCCTCACCCGCAACGCCTGATACGGCAATCCTTTCCAGGATGCTTCCCCCAATGGAGGGGGCCCAACCATCACGCGGAATCTCCGGGTGCTGTTATTCCGGATGCAGATGATCACCTCCCAAGGCATGACATTGGCAATCCGGTCGTTCAAATGCCTGACAAGTGCATCGAACTCCACCGACAAATCGATTCCACGGAATGGTGGGTGTGGCTTCCCGTCTTTGAATGCCCCTCCCCGCGGAGGAAGTACGACATCTTTTTCGAGATAGCCACAAGCCTGTAATCGCGGTCCATATTGACCTTGGGGACATGCCCCATATCCTCGACCTCGAGCCACTCGCACTGCTCCTCGGCCGGGATCTTCGTGTTGATCTTCCGGGTTTTGGCCCAGTCCTCCCAAAAGATCTTTTCCTGCTTCGGGTCCTTCTGCTTCTTCGACCGGGGTTCCCCCTCGGCGTTGCCAGGCGGCGCTTTGGCCTTTGCAATCCTCGGCATCGCCTTCACCTGGGGCTTGTCGGCCGAACCGGCAGCCGTGGGGTCCGACTCGTCTCCAATCTCGATGAAACCAGTCGACTGGGGTTCCCCCACAGCGCTCTTGGCAGCAGTTCCGCGCCTTGGTGGCGGCGGAGTTGGCGGCTGCTTGGATGTGCTGGTGCCCTCCGTCACGGACTCAAAAGCGACAGACTCCGCGGTGATCATGGAACTCATCCCTGCCACCTCGGATTCATCAGCTTCTGACACCAGCTCCAATGACACAACCGTCTCCTGGTCGAACAAATCTCCTTCCGCGATGATGATCGACTGGCCTTCCGGCGCAGCGCGGTGCAATTTTGGGGGCAGGTTGGTTGGGTCCCACCCAAAATCCTGGGTGTCATCGCCCAGCAGGAGCCATTTGTCCTTGTCCTCATCGTCGGGCACAATGGACAACCCGTGCTGTTCCGCTGTGCGGCCAATGTATTGTGACATGGCGATCTCGACGCGGTCTAGCTCGTCGTCGGAGTTCTCTTCTCCTTTGTCGACGGCCTCGAGAATGATCTCGGATTCGTCGACCTTGGCCCCCCGCATCTCGATGGTCATGGCGTTGTAGGACTCGTCCTCAGCCACTTTCATCCAGGCGGCCACGTCGGCGTCGATCTCCTCGCCCTCCTGGTCATGGGACCAGTCGGGCCTCTCCTCCATCGCAGCATACTCGTGGAGTGCTTTGGCCAGCTTCAAACATGTGGGCCAGCCAAACAGCACAGGATCCACCGGTTCTCCT